TACTGATCTAAGGTAGATTTTTTTTTCATCTTACGTTCCCTAAAATCAGGATTTGTTTTAGAGTTGATGGGATCTTACAATTAATTGGCAGTACTTTTCTTTCATAGTGTACAGCAGGGAAGGTAGCCTCAGACAGTTTCGATGGCAGGCTACACATGACGAAATACAGTCTTTATTATAGGGCTTCATTGAAGGGCTTTCTCAGATACCAGCACACTTGGTTATTTCTGTCTTAAGCCAAATGATGTGTACAAACTTTACTTCCCAGCTAAACACCACGTTTAGAGAAGGTTTAGGATTCCCATGTACCAAACAATAGGTGTTGGGAATTCAGGACTTGGAGGTGGAGAAGAATGAATTCCCATCTGTAGATATTCTTGTAAGTAACCAGAAGTGGCTGTCCCCTTTGTGCGCATGTCAAAATGACACACACTTGATGAATGACACTGGCAAACCAGAAGCAGTCGATTAACCTTAGCAGTGTCCTGTTACGGGATAACAGGCAACTTTTTTTTTATACTTTGCTGCTGTTCTGAATCTTCTTTAATGAATAGATATTACTGTTTGTTTCTTCAAATAGTAAATGCTCCTTAACAAGATAGAGCCATCCTTGGGTCAAGACAGTAATAATAGTAGCATTCTTTTTGTGACTTTTATCCAGTTGTATACTTTAAATATGTGCGATTTGTATCATGTAATTTGTACCTTAATAAAGCTGGCTTTGTCTTTTTTTGTTAAAGAGTCCTAGTTGAAAAGATAATTTCTGTAGTGGCAGTGTGACATGGCGCAGTGAAAACGTAAAGCAGATGTGTCCTTCTGAGATTCAGGAAGGTTTCAAAGAGCAGGTAACCCTTGAGCTTTTTTGTTCTGAGCCTTGAAGAAAGAATGAAGTTTGCCAACCAGAAAACAGAAAATGGCAGGACATGCATCCCAAGGACAAGGACAGAATGCAAAGGCTTGAAGTACCCTTGCAGAGCGGCCGTGACATCCCTTTCAGCCCTGGGTTATAATATTTCGTACATATATCATCTCCACTGCTAACTCAAGACCCCCGGGCCCTGTAGGCAGGGATTTTTTACACTCCCTCTGTAACCTTTAAGGTGCCTGACAGAACCTTGCAGCCCTCGTAGAGTGCTCCCAGAGGAGACTAAAATAAGAATGTGCAAATGGTGTTAGCAACTCCCCAAGCATCTACTTACGGAAAGCAAGGGCCTTTGAGAGAAAGAGAAGAGACAGAAAGACCTTTGAGACAGAAGCTATAGGTGTATGGGTGCCTGGGTGGCAGGAAATACAAAATGGGAGGGACTTAAGTAAGTGCCCGGGCCCTTTGGGAGGGAGGGACTTTGTTTCCCTAGACTCTGAACCCAACCTTGCCCTGGCTCAGTGAAGGATGAAGGGTCTGTACGTTCTGTGGTAGCCCCTGGGTTTTGCAGCTGCCTGGGCAGAGCAGGATTCCTTCAAGAAGCAGCAGCTACCGGGCCTGTTGTTGGCCAGCTGAGACCTAGTCAGAATGAAGACAGTGTCCTGTGGACGTAATCTTGGGAGGAGCTTCATAAGGTAACTCACACCCTCCACCAGCCCACTGGCTGCGTGCTGGCCAAATGTCAATGAGAATGATAATGGGATATCATTCATACCCACAGAGTGGCATGATATAGAAACACTGGGGTTAGAGTCAATATTTTCAAGCTAGTATTTGTTCAGTGCAGCACCCAGAAGACATGGGTTACAAACATGACATTACATATTAAGACAAAGTCTTTATTTTATTTTGCCTCTCCAGAAGTCTCCTTCTCTCTAGAAGGGCAGACTTTTAGGGTGATTTTTTTAACCAATTACTTTAACTTTTTCTGCCTCTCTTTACTGCCCACACAAAATAGAAATAATAATCACCATTAGTTACGCAAATATTTTAGGTAAAATTCAAAGTCTTCGATCTCTGAAATACATGACCTTGCAGTATGTAATTATAATTCAGGTTATCTGTGAGCTTATTTTTGGTTCTTTGCTCATGAGTCTATCATCTGAACTTGAGGATACCTAACATGCACCAAGAAATAAAATGAGCTCTTTCCCAAGAGTGTGAGCAGTTTCACAAAAATTCCTAATTTTTCCCTTAAGAATGAACTTAATGCAGGGCGCCTGGGTGGCTTAGTTGGTTAAGTGTCCAACTCTTGATTCCAGCTCAGGTCTTGCTGTCAGTCAGGGTCATGAGTTCAAGCCCTGCATTGGTCTCCATGCTGAGCATGGAGTCTACTTAAAAAAAAAAAAAATGAACTTAATGCTGAAAATTATCTCAATTACTATTCTTGTCTCTTTGATGTTGAGTGAGTGTTTACCTTTCTAGTACAAGACACCTGCAAAATGTCAAAATCTACAGACGGCTCAGAGGAGTCAACTACATGGGGCTCAAAGTACTTTCACGTATCAAAGCTAACACTAATTTATGTTCAAATATAAACTCTAAATTAATTAGAAAAGATGGAAAACATAGCAATCCATTTGGAGGGTTTAACCATGGATGTCTTCTTAATAACAACTATCCAAAGTAGGCCCATATTATTTATTTATGAGGATTATACTTCAGCCCATCATTTCAGGAACAATATTTCATCTTAATACACTGTTTCCAAAACCTGAATCTCAGATTGAAAGTTGAGCATGTTCTTTTTCTTCATATGCATAGCTCATCATTACCAGCATTAACATTAAAAGCATCTGTGTATGACTCAGTCTGTTTAATGGAGCGGGAATTCCTTCCTTGCCCTATTTTCCCACCCAGCCCCTACCCAGCAGTCTGGCTGATTTTATACTGTTCCAGTGGAATTCCTTTTGAAAACATCATATGGATTTGAATATGCAACAAGTCATAAAGGACATCTCCTGTCCCATGACAAACATATTCATGGAGCAAAACTCTAGTAAAATACATTAAACTATATATTAGAAGATAATTCCATTTCACTGGATTTTTGTCCCATGCACTGAAATTATAAAGGAGTGTCACTGGATTTTATGTGCTGCCACTTATTCTTTTACATTCCTACCATCTTGATTAATTTGTTCTTTCGTAAGTCTCCCTTATATTTCATGCTAAATGGGAATTTTGCAAGTAAAAAGGATGTGAATTCCCAAAACAAAAGTTAGCATTTCACTTAAGTGCAAATAAAATCAGATTCAATTGCTATTTACCTAAACAGTAACTAAACTCAAAATACTATGTAGTCCTGGCTTTCCACCATTGCAGGTAAGTGGAAATCTGTAATAATCTTCCCATCCACCAATGTGAGACTGACAACAGTTGTTCAGTGAATTGTCCCTGGTGGGATGGTTGCCAGCCTCATCTATAGAAAGGTGATGAGAGTAAAGGTACATCCAAAGGGAAGTGGGTTAGATTAAAAGTCAGTTATATAATAAATCCTAATATATGAACTAAAACCATAAACCTCATGGAGAAAACATAGAGATAAGTGTATGACTTTGGATTTGGCAGTAGATTCTCAGATATGACACCAAAAGCATGAGCCATAAAAGAAAAATTAAATAAATAGGACTTCATTAAAATTAAAAACTTTTGTGCATCAAAGGATATTATCAATAAAGTGAAAAGACAGCTGACAGAATGGGAGGAAATATTATGCCAATCATATGTCTGATAAGGATCTAGGATCCAGAATATGTGAAAAACTCAACTCAACAACAAAAAGGCCAACAACCCACTTTAAAATGGGTCAAGTCCTTAAATAGATATTTCTCCAAAGAAGATATACAAGTGCCCAACAAAAACATGAAAACATGCTTATCATCATTAGTCATTAGGGAAATATAAATCAAAACCACAGTGAGAAACCACACACGTTAAAATGGCTGTCATAAAATTTCTCAAAATTAAAAGAAAATAACAAGTGTTATTGAGGATGTGGAGAAATTGGAACCTTCTACATGGCTGGTAAAAATGCAAAATGATTCAGCCACTGTGGAAAACAATTTGGCGGTTCCTCAAAAAGTTTCATATAGAATTACCATATGACTCCACAATTCCATTCATGGGTGTATACCCAAAAAGACTGAAACAGGGACTGAAACAAATACATATACCTGTGTATTCATAACAGCCCTATTCACAATAGCCAAAAGGTGGAAACAACTGAAATATCCATTAATGGATGAATGGCTAAACAAATTGGTGTATATACACACAATAGAATATTATTTGGCCATAAAAAGGAATGAAGTACTGATCCATGCTATGACATGGATGAACCTCTAAAACATTATGCTAAGTGAAAGTAGACAGAACAAAAGGTCACATGTTTTATGATTCTACTCCCTGAAATATCCAGAATAGATAAATTCATAGAGACAGGATACAGATTGGTGATTGTCAGGGACTGAGAGAAGGGAGGATTGAGGAGACACTGCCTAAAGGGTAACAAGTTTTATTTTGGAATGATGGAAATATTTGCAACCAAATAGAGGTAATGGTTATACAACATTAAGAGTATACTAAGTGCCATTGAGTTGTTCACTGTAAACATTTTTTTAAGATTTACTTATTTTTATTTTAGAGAGAGAGTGTACAGTGGTGGTGAGGGGCAGAGGGAAGAGAGAATCCCAAGCAGACTCTGCGCTGAGTGTGTAGCCTAACGCAGGGCTCAATCTCAAAATCCTGAGATCATGACCTGAGCCAAAACCAAGAGCTGGACACTTAACTGACTGAACCACCCAGGCCCTAAATTGCTCACTTTAAAGTGGTTAATTTTAAGTTATGTGAATTTCACCTCAACAAACAAAAAGTCTACAATACAAAAGCGAAGTGATTGTGAGCTACATTTCTGGAACTGCTTAGTAAGCACATTGATATAAATGTTTCTCATTACAGTGGCTGGTAGAGATCACGATTAATGAATAGGGTCTGAATGACCAATAGTATGTCTCACATTTAACTAGATTTTGAAAGTCAAAATAAGAAAATTAATTGATATTTCTTGTTCTTTTAGGACTCTCAGCTTGTTTCCTCCGGACACAGTAATCCAAGTAAGAAAGACTTCTCTCTATAGCTTCATATGTGGAGGGTGGAAGATAGAGGGGGTGAGGAGGGGAAGAAGCATGCAATAGACTGTAGGTTGAGAAGAATTTCACAAGAAACAAAATCAGGTGGGGAAAAAGAGGGCCATTTGTTCAAGTACCGCCCAAATTGATAAGATTCTGGAGTGCTCCTCTAGCTTTATTCAAAGGGAAGGAGGACAAAAACATAAAATGGTGAATTTCAAAGCAGTCCTGGGAGGAAGGAATATTTTGCTTTATTAAAGTCGGTCTCTGGTATATGTGGAGGGGAAAAAATCTTTGAAGGCAACTAGGGAGTTATCTAAATTGAAAGAAAACGAGTGGGCCAAGAGAACCAATCAGAAGACCTCAAGATAAATGACCTTAGAATCCATGAAGAAATCATGCCCTCTTCCAGAGATAGTCAGGCTGCAGTGTCTAGGAAGCACCTTTCTTACCGAAACTAGTATCTAATAAAACATGTGGGCTTCAACGTCAAAGAGAGGATGTTATCATTCCATGAAGTAGTGTTTTAATTCTCTTCTTTGGCACTAGTAATTGGTGTTAATATCTTCTTGAGGATTAAAAATGCATATGCTACCCCATTCATGTCATGAAAGCACACTCACCAAGATGGCATTGTTAGTCTCATGACCAGCCAGTCAGCTGAGAGCACCCCTTGCCAATTGTAAAGCTACATTTGAACATGAAAATCACTATGAGCTAGTAAATGTGTCTTTGGAACTGAGGCTCACCCACTGAGCATCTGTGAGGCAGAAGGCTTGAGGAGAAAAGACATCCAGACAAATGTTAGAAAGCCCCAGACTTTTAATGCACAGCTAGAGAAAGGTCAGGGTTGGAGGATGGTGGCATCATGATGCATAGGCAATATCACTTAATTATCCCACCCTCTTTTGGGATTTGCTGTGAGCACAGGCACTGGTGAAGAGGTAAAAGGCCAAGGGACTGGAAATCTAAAGAAAATGATAAATTGAATGGTAAGAAAAGTACTTAAAAGAAATGCCTGATTAAGTCCATGAGATGTGCAGTATCAGCATCATATGCCTTATGATCATACTAAAGAACATACTAGAAAACTAAAGCATACTGAAGAGTTGCCATTACTTTCCTCACTATTTCTTTCTATTTGAACTTAAACAGTTCAGGGTAAAGGGAGAATATAATCGATGTACATTCATTGTACTTGCTTGAGCTTAGAGTTTTTGACATGAAGAACAAAGGAAATAGCTGTTGAGTCTCTTCTGTGTTCCAGTGCCTTGACATGGAATTTCACTGAATCCTAGCCATAGGCATATAAGGCAGGCATTACCATCCCCATTTTGCACGTGATGAAAATGAGATTTTGAGCTTAATAACTAACCCAAGGTCACATGGTCAAACAAAAAATGACTGCCAGGATTTGTATTCGGGAATCTCTACCCCAAAGACAACAGACTGTATTGCATTACCTTGACCCCTAGAAGATTGCTTCTGTCATTTCACTCTGAGTTTGAATTCTTGTCCAAGAACTATAGACTGTGATTTTTGTATGCATCTAGCATATTTTTATGGCATGTCAGAAATCCACATGCTTACACCGCAACATAGATTATGTAGAGCAGACCTCATCCTCTACAGAATGTAAGGTGGCACCTGCCTTGTATGGTACACTCTCTGGCATTTCATCGTCTATGGAAATTTGTGATTGGCCTCCTCTTTTCTAGGGACAAGGGGATATTTTTTTTTCTAAATAAGTTTCCCCCAAAGCCAAGCACGTCTATAAAAAGGTAATACCGCTATTTAAAAATCTGAGCTTTTTCTATAGATTAAAGCACATTTGAAACTTCAGGAGAGCTGATGCCACCGGCATTTCCAGTGCTGTTTCTTGTATTTGGTTTGGAATCATTACAGTTTGGAATGTGTTTGGAATTCTGACTCCAGCAAATATGTGGAAATAGAAAAAACTGAATTTCAAAGACACCGCACAAAAATGTGTATGTGTGGACTGACGGACTATCACTTTTGGTCAGTCCTTTTTTTCTTTTTGAAATTAGAAAAAGTATGTTATGTACATAACTAAGGGGAAAGAGTGTGTAAATTAAACAGAAATTCTTTTCAATCCAAATCCTTAAAAGATAGATGCTTTAGTCAATTTGTTGAATTAATGATTAATTTAATATTATAAAAGTTTATTAAGTTTAAGACACTTAAATATTAAAATAGATGACATATGTCTATGTTTTTCAAAAGTTATGAGCACATGGTGTTCAAGAGGAAGACTAAACATAAGCACTTCTTCCCCTTTCTTCAGAATCCGCATTTAAATAACCAAAAGCTATAGTAATGGAAATAAATTCATAATAGCACAGAGAACAAGAAGGGATGCCATCAACAAACCAGAAATTCAGTTGAATTTTTGGAAAACAGAAGCAGAAAGGACCATACTGTTTGATAATCTGGCAGAGAAAATCATGACCCAGAAAAAGAAAAAAAGGAAAATAGTGAAACAAACAGGAACAAGTTCTAGTGATTGTGGGAACTATCCTAGGGAGCTCCCAGAGAGACTCCATATTTCCATTCAACCCCAAGAAAGAATAGATAGGCATGGATTGTGGGCAATGACAGGAACACCTGGACCATTCTTCCCCCGATTACCTCCACTCCCATCCTAACTGGTTCTCATAGAGAGCATTCAGTCTGGTTTTTCTCCCAAAAAGAAAAAAACAAAAGACCAAAAAAAAAAGTAATATTTACTAAGAAAATGAACAGCTGACTAGAAGTCCTAGTTGGGGGCTGATAACTAAGAAAGAAGCAAAGTAGATTCTGAGATGATACCAGAACTTAAAAATAGACATATATGGGTCATAGAAGAAGAGTCATGTTTTCTCAAGAAGGAAATAAAAACACTACACACTCAGGGTAAAGTACTTCTTACTTTTGTCGGGGTGTAGGGGGAGGGTCAGGGCTCCCAGCTTACCTTGAGGCCTCTCTTCTCCTGAACCCTAAATGAAGTCTTCCAGTCACAGTACCCTGTGCACTTACAGAGAGCTCTAAATCAGCCCTTCCCTACAAGGCAAAGGTATGTTAGGAAAAGAGATCAATATACTAACAAAGGAAATTCACACCAATTACCTTCATTAATCAACCCATTATCATTCAAAAATGTGAATATGTAACAGAACACTGAAGAGAAGGAATGGCCCTAAGGGAATCAATCTATTAATTCAAAGAACAGAAGAAAAAATTTCAAGTGTCATCACAATCTTCAGAAAAAACTGAAATTATTTGTATTAAATATAAAGAGAACAGATTGGCATGAAAAAAGTAGTTGCAGAATAAATGAGGACTTGAGAATTTAAAGTATGGTCAATAAAATTTAAAAATAGAAATGATGAGTAATAGCTGAAGCCTGGAATCTAGAATACAAGGTTGAAAACATTTTTTTTCTGGATATAAAGCAAAGGACAGATGGAAAATATGATAGGAAGATAAGATACTTGGAAAATCAATCAGGATGGAAAGGTCAAAATCCAGCTAATAGGAATACCAGAAAAGGGCGGAAAAGAACAGAAAAGAATAAAGAATAATAAAAATAGAATTCTAAGGGAAATGAGCAACTCACTATCAAAACCACTCATATACTAAACTTAAAAAAAATAGGGGCACCTGGTTGGCTCAGTCAGTGGAGCGTACAGCTCTTGATCTTAGGATCATGATTTTGAGCCCCACATCCGGTGTGAGATTGCTTAAGTAAATATACTTAAAGAGAAAACCACTCATGTACAAGAAAACAAGAGACCATAAACAAGAGCAATAAAAAACAGATAGCATAGAATTAGTTAGACCTGCAAGGACTAGAGAGATTGGAATTACCAAGCCCATCGCTTCTTGGCCTTTTGGCTAAGATCAAGTGGAATTACCAAGCCCAAAATATAAAACAAGAGTGCTTACTTTAATTTCCAGAAATAAAAGGAAAGGATTGAAAATGTGGTAAAGAACAAGAAGATTTGAAGAAGTACTAATCAGAACCTCTAGAAATGAAAAAGTAATAATAGGAAATAAGATTTCCTTGGTCAGGTTTAACAGCAGATGATTGGACTTCACTGAAGAAAAAAATAATGAATTGGGAAATTGGACTTAAGCGATTATCTAGGGTACAGCCTAGAGAAATGACAAATACAAAATGGAAGTTAAGAAACATGGGGGGTAAAATGAGAAAGTCTCACATTCCAGAAGGAGATAAGGAAACAGAGGAAATATTAAAGGAGAAAGTGGCTGAGAATTTTCCAGAATTGAAAGACACTACCCCACAGACTGAAGGAACTCAATGAACGCTAAGCAAAATAAATAAAAAAGAGGTCCTCACTAGACATAGTTAAACTGCAAATCGCAAAGATAGGAAAAATTCTTAAAATAACCTTTAATACCTTCAGAGAAGCAACAATTAGACTTCCAGTTGACTTTTCTTTCTTATTTTTTTAAAGATTTTATTCATTTATTTGATAGAGAGAGACAGCGAGAGAGGGGACAGAAACAGGGGGAGTGGGAGAGGGAGAAGCAGGCTTCCCGCCGAGCAGGGAGCCCCACGCGGGGCTCGATCCTAGGACCCCAGGATCATGACCTGAGCCAAAGGCAGATGCTTAATGACTGAGCCATCCAGGTGCCCCTCCAGTTGACTCTTCAACAGTGGCAGTGGGACAGTGGGATCCAGCAGACAGCAAATTTATAACTTCACTTTTCTATATGTGGAAAATGACAAGCTGATTCTCACATTTATTTGATAGAACAAAGGGCTAAGAGTATCTCGGACAGTTCTGAAGAAGAACAAGGTTGGAGCCTTGTCTTATCAGTTTTAAAAATAAATACATATTTTTAGCTAAGTAACGAAGATAGTAATAGACAAATTGAGCGACAAAATAGAAGACCCAGGAATAGACCCACAGATGTATGAAAACTAGATTATTACAGAGCTGATAAGGTAGACCAATGGA